CTCTTTAAGAGTAGATGTTGAGTAAACTATATACGCTCAAGAACAACTCAAACTTCACAAATTGGCTCTAGAAAGCTATGGAAAATAATGTTGTTTGGATGCAATGATAATATGAATAAAGTGAAGTAAATTGATGTGAAAAGCATACCCAAACACCCCTTTTTATAGTGCCAAAATAGGCTCCAACGGACCAATACATTAAATGGGTGATTGGCTTGATTTATGGGATTGAATAAATTTGGGATCTGCAGGATATTGGCTTCCCATCGATGTTTGGACTCACCCATCGCTGGTAAGCCAATTTTCCTTCAGTTTTGAAGCCAACGGTCACCTACCCATCGATGGGTACAAGCTTCCCATCGCTGGGTGGGAAGTTGACTTCCAAACAAGGAAAGAATCAGCCTTAAATGACTTCCAACGGTCATGCCTTCCCATCGATGGTTAAGCCTTCCCATCGCTGGGTTCCCATCGATGGGTAAAGCTTCCCATCGCTGGGTAAGGGCATTCTGCCTTGTGATAATGTTGGACCAAGGCTTGAACAGCGATGGGTAGAGCTTCCCATCGCTGTTTGGCAAGGTTCTGGAATTCAATTGGGCCGAAGGCTGCTTACCCATCGATGGGTAATATCTCCCATCGCTGGGTGAAATGATTCTGGAATCCCGGGATCAATTTCCGATGCATGGGTGAACTCTACCATCGCTGGGTAGATGGCTTGTCCAGAACCATGGCTTAGCCGACCGACACTCAAACCCGACCGAAAAATGCAAAGTTCTCCAAAGTAAAAACTAAGTGTTTAAAACGCTTATTTAATGTATTTTGATGTCAAAATAAGCTTTGTATGTTGAAAACTACGTCGTTAAGGTAAAAACCACGGTTGACCAAGTCAACGCCGTACACGGGTGGTTTTTACCAAAAGACAAAACCGAAAGATGGTTTTCATGATGTTTTGATTGGAGAACCATTTAAATGCATTCAAAAACAATTCCCACACAAAAAGACTCGAAAACCACTTCATTTAAGTAAAAACCACGGCTAGCCAAGTTTATGCCGTTTCGCATGGTTTTTCTAAAACGACAAAAAACAAAAGGTGGTTTTTGAAATGTTTTTGATGGAAAACTATTTAAATGTGCCCAGAAGTAAAAACCAATCATAAAAAGTTGAAAACCACTTGGTTGGTTCGGACGCCAATTTATCTTATAAATATTTCTTTATAATATTTTGTGTATATTTCTAACACTTTAGAAAAATAACTTTGAACACAAAATAGGATTTTTCTTCTCTCTAAAATGGGATGGCCGAATTTTTTTTTTTTCAAAATCAAGACCTCATTTTATAATAAAGTATATTTAGCTACCAAACAAAATAGAATCCCTACATCAAATAATAATCAAATATATCAATTTGACATTAAAAATACTTTATGTATAAAATCAAAATGGTCTTGGATTTTCCTCTTGAAATCATCGGCCATCTCATATTAAAGTACATTATATTTTATTTTGACATCAATAATTATCATATAATTAAAATGATGAAAAAATAAAATAATATATATAGGTATATAATTTCAACCCTACATATATATATAAAATAAAAATTTGTTTTGTCAAAATATAATTATCGTATAATTAAAATGACACAAACAAAATATAATTTTAAAATACATATGTATTTTCGAAATACATATATATATATATATATATATATATAAAATTATCACAACTATATATTTAATATTACTCCCACTAGTGTAGTATACTACTCCCTTACAAGTCCTAAGTGTGTGACCCTTTAGGTATCCATAACACTGGCAATGATATTAATATAAATTAATACCATAGATAATAAGCGGTATCTATCAACACATTATTATCCCCAGATTATGAAAAAGACGTTCATCTCATCAAAATAATATATATATATATATATATATATATATATATATATATATATATATAATTTCGGCCCTTCATATATATATATATATATATATATATATATATATATATGATAAAATTTGTTTTTTCAAAATATAATTATCATAGAATTAAAATGACACAAACAAAATATAATTTTAAATTACATATGTATTTTCGAAATACATATATATATATATATATAAAATTATCACAACTATATATTTAATATTACTCCCACTAGTGTAGTATACTACTCCCTTACAAGTCCTAAGTGTGTGACCCTTTAGGTATCCATAACACTGGCAATGATATTAATATAAATTAATACCATAGATAATAAGCAGTATCTAGCAACACATTATTATCCCCAGATTATGAAAAAGACGTTCATCTAATCAATACCTTCTACGACACAAAACGTTCTATAACTATTATCCTTCTGTCCTAAATGTCATGATTTAACACAAGGCATGGGATGTGTATCCTTGTATAGCTAAATCAGCTGTTACTGAATCTCAAGTAGACTGGCAGGGATCAGATATTTATCAGTCTCTAGATAGTGACATATCTGGGCATGACCATGCACTTTCCCAAGTCCTACTATTCAGTGGGCCCATTGACACTATACTTCTATACACTAGAAGGGACAAATCATGTATCTGTTATTCACATCTCTAAATATGCTTAGCGGCATACCCAACGCATAACATTACGTCTACCAGTATTTCAGATAGCATTAGTTATGAATCAAAGCATACGGCCCCACATATCAGAGAATGTAATAACTTCAAGTCTGAGGATAGTTATAGCAAGGTCGATTTGAGAATACTGATAAACACATTACTGTAGATCCATGCAGTATTCTCAAGATGGGTCAATCCAGTCACATATTATCGATATAATATGCACCTACGTACAGATTAAGATATCACAATACCTAGAGTCTATGAGACGCAACCATCTCATCTCGTACGTACTAGTCTTGATACGTTATGACGTCCGTATTATCATAAAGTGCGACTAGGGATATTCTAGACATAGCCTTCGTCAAGAAGTAACAGTCTCATAATCAGAACATCGTAGTCCTCATCTATGTTACTGAAGCGCTATCGTCTATGGACTGAAGCTATGTTATGTTACACGAGATATAAAACATACTTCAAGGCCTTTCATTCATGATAAAGTGTACAGTTACATAGGTATTTGATTGCCGCTAGGGCACCTAAATACAACAATCTCCCACTTGCCCTAAGGCCAATCAAGCATTTCTCGAATG